CTCTGAGGCCTGGTGCGGGGTGACCCAGGCTAGCTGCTGCGCCTCCGGGCCTCAGTTTCCCGTTGTGCTTTGGGGAGTGTGCGAGAGGTTGGGTTTCACTCCTCCTGGTCCCTACCCCCCACCTTTGGAAGGCTTTCCCTAGCTGGTCTCCCTGATGGCCTGACCTCAGACCTACTGCTAGCCTATGACAGGTGGTTGTTCCCATGGGCAAGTTTTCCTACCCCTTACAGCCTTAGCTGGTACAATAGCTGAGACAAGGGATGTGTCCCAAGGGAAACTGAGGCATAAGGAGGAGGCTGGCCAGCCCCCCAGCTTAGAATAGAACTACAGACAATTTATAAATGGGAAAACTGAGGGCCCAAGAGGAAGGGGCCAGATCAGGCTTTCCCAGACCAGCAGGCAAGTGGAGGGGGTTGGGAGGGAGGGTGCTATCAGCAGGCTGAGGCAGGTGGGGGGACGTTGTCTGAGTGGGATACTGGCTGCCCAAGAGACTAACTTGCTCCACAGGGGCCCTCAGGGCCAGCCTCCTGAGACCTGAGAAGAGAAGAGGTGAAAATCAAAGGAGAGGGTGGTGTCCATATTCTGGAAGGGATCCTCCACGCTCATGACCTGGGGCCTCATCATTTCACCAGGGCAGTCTGCTCCATCATGGGCAACCGTGTAGAGCCCAGACCCAGGTAGTGGCTCCCATCCTGCCAGGCAGGGTCCTGAGAAGCTGCAAGGTGAGGCTGTGGGCACCCAGCCTGGGCCGAATAAGGGAAGGAGTCCAAGAGGGACAGGAGGGCAATCAGACCCACGCAGCTCTTCCCTCCAGGGCCCAGTCCAGGGAGTCCTCATAGCCTCTCCAGGAAGGCTCCACAGAGACTCCTAGAGGGCCAGGAGACACGAGACCCACCTGAAGTGTTAGCAATCTGTTTCTTCAAAGTGACTCACTTTTGCTTGGGGTGATTTCATCCTCTCTACAATCCAGGCGCCACAAGCCCTCCCTCCCCCCCCCCCCCCCGCATGCGGGATGGTGATAGGGGAGGGTAAAGAAATCAGAGCTCCTCCCAAGCCCAAGGGTAATGATGTGGTCACCGAGAAATCACTCAGAAAAAAACATAAACCTCAAGTTCCTGAAGGGTTGGGAAGCGTCCTAAATCTGTGCCTCCGCCCTTCCCTTGGCCTGGAACCAAGGTGGTAAAATCGCGAGGCCACAGGATTCAAACCTGCGCAAACGCCTCTGGGCACCTTTGGAATGGGCATGCTGCTTGTATGTCCCGTAAACGCTGTCACCGTCCCGCGCTGCATCCGTTCTGCGGGGTAGGGTGTCAGGCGGGGTGCTGGGCCGCATGGGATGGGAGGCGTTCATCCCACCCCAGGAGGGTGCTGCTCAAGGCTTCCCAGGGTTGCAGCGCTTTTGAACCGGGATGGAGTCGAAGAGAGGCTCCGGACGCCCCCTGGCGGGGTTTCTGGATACCGGTCGCGCCAGGCCATCCCCTGGGTATTTCTTCCCAGCTCTATTCCTCCACACACCCCCCCACCCCCGGCCCGCGACCCTGAGGCCAAGTCGTAGTCGGTAAACCCAGTCCGTAAGAGGGGGACCAGAGCCTGGCCTGACCCCTCCCTTGCTGGCTTCAACCGGTCGCCTCCCTGTCTATTTCTGCCCTGGCGCTCGGACAGCAAACCAACTCCACTCACTCCCTGCGCCCCGCGGTGGTTTTTGAAGGGACTTGGCCCAACGCCCCGGCGTAAGCCCTCGACACTTTGCAGCATTGGTCCGTGTCCCCAGGGCCCACACAGCTCGGGCCAGGCGCAGGGAGGGCGCAGGGTAACGCTGCCAGCTAAGAAGGGCGCTGAGAGGGCGCCTGGGTGGCTCAGTTGGTTAAGTGACTGCCTTCGGCTCAGGTCATGATCCTGGAGTCTCTGGATCGAATCCCGCATGGGGCTCCCTGCTCGGCAGGGAGTCTGCTTCTCCCTCTGACCTTCCCCCTGCATGTGCTTTCTCTCTCATTCTCTCTCTCAAATAAATAAATAAAATCTTAAAAAAAAAAAAAAAGAAGGGCGCTGAGAGGAGGTGATGCTGTAAGGGACAGGTCCCGGAGGTGAAGGTGAGGGCTGCGGGTCGACCGGCGACTCCCTCTGGAGGCGTGTCCCTTAGGCCCCGCCCCCTTGCGCCGGCGGTGTTTAGCGGTGCCCGGTTTGTCCCCGAGACAGAACCGCTGCTACGGTAGCCGTCTCCGCCTGCCCTTGGCCGAGTCTCACCGCCACAACCATGCCCCGGGGGAGCCGAAGCGCGGCCGCCCGGCCAGCCAGGTGTGAGCGGGACAGGGGAGGGCGGGGAGGGGGCTAGGGAAGCGCGGGCGCTCCCCCGCAAGGGCGCGAGAGTTGACCTTGGCGGCTGCTGCGCCATCTTGGTGGGGGGAGGGGCGGGGTGCCGCAACCACGTGTCTAGGACGGTGGTCGCCCACCCTCGGCGGGGAGGAGGAGGACGGGGTTCGTGTCCAGGAGCTGCAGGCCCCTGGGGCCCCAGTTCAGGGGTCCGGCTGAGATTAACCCTATTTCCCCCCCACCCCCACCCCGCAGCCGCACTGTTCACCCACCCGCGCACCCGCCGCCCTCGGCCGCTGCACCGGCCCCGGCCCCGTCGGGCCAGCCTGGCTTGATGGCGCAGATGGCGTCCACGGCCGCTGGGGTGGCCGTGGGCTCGGCTGTGGGACACGTCGTGGGTAGCGCCCTGACCGGAGCCTTCAGCGGGGGGAGCTCAGAGCCCGCCCAGCCTGCCGCTGAGCAGGTGAGCAGCGGACTCGGGCGAAACTGGGGCCGACTTCCCACGAGGGTCATGTAGTAGGGTGCTACTGGAATGTCCAGCGAGAAGTGCCCTGGTGTGTTCAGAGCTGCCTCAGGCCCAGGACTCTTATTCCTCACTCTGCTTTTGGTCTCATGTCACTCACAGGCAGGTTCTAGCCCCTTTCCGGAGGCCGAGGTCCCTAGACTCGCAGGGACCAAGCAGCCCTTTAAAAATGGGGAAACCAAAGCCCTTAGCGGTTCAGAGACTGGCCCAAGGTAACCTAACCCTAGTGGAGGGGAGGGATGTTGAAGTTCTGAGTCCCTGTTCGTCCCATTCCCAGGTTCTGCCCTGCAGTCCCTGCATCCCAAGGGCAAGGGGGTAGCCAGCAGCTCTGAGCCCGCTTCCTGCTCACCTATCCCCTACTGGGCACCCCACCAGTCCTGAGCCAAATGTGGCTTAGTGGCAGGGTCAGGGGTCATGAGGATCACTGTGGCTGAGCCTGGAAGCTGCTAGTACTTGTGGAGGTGGGGCTTATACTCCAACAAGAGTACAAGCACAGCACCTTGCTTTTTTAGAGTCTTCTCCCCCCTCTCAGGCCCTACTTGCTCAGCGATCCCATTATGAGGCGATCGGGAAATGCTGTCCATACCGGCAGTAGCATCCGCTGAGTGGGTTTGACAGGGCTGTGGGCTCCCTCTGTTTCACAGATGGAGCAGCTGGGGCTAGACAGGGCAGGCTGGCCCCCAAGTCAGTCAGCCTGCCAGGGATCCCAGGGGCCCCTGGGCTGGGGGTGTGGGGAGGGGCTGGCTTTGGAGCGCACTTTTAGGTGCCAACCTGGAGCTGACGTTGCTGCGTCCTCTGTCATACGCCAGGCTCCCACCCGCACTGGCCCCCAGCCCCTGCAGATGGGGCCCTGCGCCTACGAGATCAAGCAGTTCCTGGACTGCTCCACCACTCAGAGTGACCTGTCCCTGTGTGAGGGCTTCAGCGAGGCCCTGAAGCAGTGCAAGTACAACCACGGTGAGTGAGCAGCCCCTGACCCAGGCAGGAGTGGGAGAGACAGTCCCTCATCCTGCACCTGCAGGCTGCCCACCAGCCTGTGCCACTTCTCTCTCCGCAGGTCTGAGCTCCCTGCCCTGAAGAGACAGGTGCGGACTGGTGCAGATCCATGAGCCAGCCCTGCACCCACCTTCACCCCTTCACCTGACAGCTGGACCATGACGTCAGATTGTACCCGTGTAGCTGGGATTTGGAGTGAGGAGGGGGTTTCTTACCCCACAGATGACCGGAGACGCAAATGTGCAATTAAAAGAGTTTATTTTAGACCATAGCCTGCTGTGTGCCCTCTCACTAGCCTGTCTGCTGGGGTGGGGTCAAGGAGCACGGATGAATGTCCAACTGTGGGGTGCAATTGCTTCACCTTAAGCTGACATCCTGGGTGGGGGAGGGGAGGAGCCCTGTTGGAATCTGATGACCTTGGACAGTCCAGATAGGAGTGAGGCATTAGTAGGGACCCCAAGGGCATCTGACTGACTCGGGACTAGAATCCTGGACGGACAAGCCTGTTTGTTGTCTCCCGCTCTCAGGAATGCTTGCCCTCTTCACCCTCCTTGTCTCTGCCTCTGGATCCCTTTCTCTGCACCCACATCTTGGGGGGCCCCCCTTGGTGGCCTCACATCCGGTCTGTGACCTTGCCCCTCAGGCTGATGCAGCTTCTCAGTAAGTCCACATTCTGCAAGAAGAATGCCTCTGGGCTGCTGTTTGGGCCTGATCACACACGGCAGAGGTCACCACAGCCAACCCCCTTGGATCAGAGTCCAGCTCAGCCACTTGGCTGTGATGTGCCAGATCACAGGACCTGCCGGAATAGACAAGCAGGCCCTTCGAACCCAAGGCAGACCTCACTATCATGTACTCTGGGCTGCTGCCTTCATTGAATTCATCAGCTCTGCATTCAGCACCTACTGTGTGCCAGGCTCTATTCGATATCTCCAGGGCACTGAGGACGTCCCTGCCCTTAGGTACTTATAGTCCAGTGGAGTGGTGGGGATGTCTCTTCATGCGGTGTGTTCCACCTTGTGGGTATTTATGTGTATACATGTTTGCAGGGTGTGGGGGGTGGTGTTTGTTGTGTATCAGCACACCTAAGCCTGTCCCCTGGGACTTTCAGGTGTGAGCATCCCCCCAGATATCCATGTCTCCTCCTTACCTGGCTGGCTTCTGGCCCCAGCTAGCGGGTCCTGGATGGCAGGGAGCCCATCCTTCGTGGCCTTGAAGAGGGGCCTTGCTCCTGGTGGCCACGCCGAGTGCTCGTGCGCTTCTTCCGGCAATCACTCATGGGGTGTAGGCCTGACAGGTAGTGAAGCTCCTCTGGAAGGCCCAGGAAGCCCTCCCTATGGGTGCTGGGGAGAAGGTGCACCCTCCCCCTGGGGCTCAACCATGACACTCACCTGCTAGCTCTGGGTACTGGTCGTCCAGGTTCTCCAGGAGGGACTCATAGCGGGTGGGAGCCCCACCCTCCCCCTCTGTGGAGGGAGGAAGACCAATTCCTGACTGTTTTGCTGGTCCCCACCCCCACCTCTCACTCTGGACCTGTTTGCTGGTCCTGGCTGGGGCCACCAAGGCATTGGATGGGAAGGGTCAGGGGCTAGGTCCTGGCCAAAGTAGGAGTGCTGGCCAGGGCCTTGGGTGGTCTCTGGAACTGCTGCCCCCCCTCTCACATTCCAGCATAACTCCAGGGGGAAATCTTGGGCCCCACTTACTGATGATCTGCACGAGGACATAGGTCCCACGCTCCTGCAGCAGGGCGCTGCCCGTGGAAGGGGCCTGGGAAGCCCCCTCCTCCAGTCCCTCATCCAGACTCACCAAGTGCCCATCCTCAGCCAGGAGGGCAATGACCGCTGGGAAAGCAGAGAGGGAGGCAAGGCAGGGCTGGCACCTCTGCCTGGAGGGCCTTCGGCCCCTCCTTCCCAGCACCCCTCCCTGCCCCCTCACCATCTGGGGGCACCTGCCCCCTCTGCCTCAAGTGGGTGGTGAGGGTCACCGGGCTGCACCAAGTGTTCACCAGCTCCCAGCAGCCAGCTGTAGGGGCGGGGCAGAGGTGAGCGAATGGGACCCTCTTCTTCCCCCAATCTGGGACCATCTGTCTCCCATCTCCTCTCTAACCAGAGCAGGGAATAGGACTCCAGGATTAAGACTGTACCCTCCTTCATCCATCTCTTGAGATGCTGGTGACCAGGGCACATGGCTCTTGCCTCCTGCACTGGATGCCCCCCTCCCGCTCCAACACTACCTCTGCACAAGATCTCCCTCCAGCACCGGACCCCCCACCTCCCATCCCGGCCCCACCTGCCACCGAAAGTCAGGAAATCTGCACCTGATGTACCCTGAAGCTTGAGGACCACTGATCGAATTGGAGATTGTGTAATTTAAAAACACACCCCATGGTGATGTGGTGGGTGCTCTTCTAGAAGAGCCCATGGCAACTTCCCAGGACCCAGCCATCGGGGTTGCCCCTCAAGGGACTCCAAGCATTCTGTCTGCTTCTTCATAGAGCTGTTTCCCTAACCACCCCCATCCTCTTATGTAAGTGCACCCCCCTTCCCCACACTGCCTCCCCAATCTCCCCAGGGCAGAGGGAAGCACGCTTCTGAATGTACCACCCCCCTACCCATCTGAGGGACAGGGGACCCCACTTACCTCCAAACATCACTTTGATAAACATGGCTGCAGGGGAGAGGAGACAGATGTGGGGGCTTTGATCCCCTAACCCCTGACTTTCCAACTAAGGAAGGATCTACGGCTGAGATCTATTCGGGGAGGGATGGCACTGCCAGGAAATGTGTATGTGTGTGGGAATGGGTGGGTGGATCCGGGCTTAGGTCCTTGCTTGGCTACCCTTGGGGCTGGACCCTACCAGTGTAGAGGGGTCCCTTTGGCTTCCTCTTCCTCCCGCCTGCTGGGTCGGAGCAGCCCGAGGAGACTGAGGCCTTCTCAGCTTCCAAGCTGGTCTCCATGGCAGTGGGAGCTGCCAAGTCATCTAGGCAGGAAATGCTTTCCCCTGCAGTATCCCAGTAACAGGATCTGGGGCGGGAGTATGGGCACTCCCTAAGGCGGGGCTACAGTGGGGGCTCAAGCCTTGTGGTCCAGGGATGGCCCAAGACCACATCCCCCCACCAGTAGAGACCGAGTTCCCAGGCTGAAAAGGGGGAGATTCCTGGATCTGGGCCCCTGGCCCTGGGAAAACCCCCACTATGAGCTGGTAGGGATGTGGCCGTGGCCGTGGTGGAAGCAGGGGTTCTTACCACCCTTGCAGTTCCCTACCTACTAAGGCTCTCTTCCCTGTGTTTCTTTTTCTTTCTTGCTTTCTTGCTAGCTTGCTAGCTTGCTTGCTTGCTTGCTTGCTTGCTTGCTTTCTTGCTTGCTTTCTTTTCTTTCTAGATTTTATTTATTTGACAGAGAGAGCACAAGCAGAGGGTGAGAGAGGGAGAAGCAGGCTCCCTGCTGAGCAAGGAGCCTGATGTGGGACTCGATCCCAGGACCCTGGGATCATTACCTGAGCTGAAGGCAGACGCTTAACCGACTGAGCCACCCAGGAGCCCTTGGGCTGTCTTTCCTCTCCTCTGCCTTCCTCCTCACCTCCAGCCTCCCCTCTCTTTCCTCTGTCTTTGGGCAAGTTTCTTGAGGTATGATTTACATACAGTAAAATTCACCCTTTTTCGTGTTTTCGAGTTTTGACAAATCTCATAGAACCACCACCACAGTTGGGAAGCAGATCATTTCCCTCACCCCCCAGAATCCCTTTATGCCCCTTTGTAGTCCATGCCAGTCCCTGGCCACCACAGCTCTGTGTTCTGTCCCTGCCTTTTCCAGAATCATATAAAGGGAATCATAGAGCATGGAGCCTTTTGAGTCTGGTTTCTCTCACTTAGCATGAGATTCACTCAATAGCTCATTCCTTCTTACTGCTGAGGAGGGTCCCATTGTCTGGATGTGCCAGTTTGTTGATCCATTCACCTGCTATTGTTTGGATTGTTTCCAGTTTTTTGCAATTATGAACAAAGCCATATAGACATTGGCAGACAGGATATTGTGTTTCTCTGCCTCTCCATCCATGCCCATCCTTTCTTTGACTTTCTCCCTTTCTCTCTCTCTTCATCATCTCCTTTCCTTCGTCCCCCTAACACCCCCTCTGTCTCTGTCTCTCAGTTTCTGTCTCCTGCCCCCTGTCCATGAGCCCCTACCAGACCCCTTCAGCCAGGGTGCCAGGTAGGTGTCTGGAGCAGGCTCCTGACCTTTGCCAGCTCCCTTTCCCCAAGGTTTTGAAAATGCACCCCCCACCACCACCAGGGTGATTAGGCTATTTGTCCTGCCCTCTGGGCCACTGACTCAGGAGGAGGACTGAATCCTCTGCGCAGCTTGCCCAGCATCACACTGCCTCTGGATAAGCACTCAGCTCAGTGCTTCCCCCTGTAGAAGGTGGGGGGCAGGGGGTAAGAACACGGCTCAGCAGAATCCTTGTGAGGATTAAATGTGGTAACACTTTCTTTCTTTCTTCTTTCTTTTTCTTTCTTTCTTTCTTTCTTTCTTTCTT